CACAATAGATCATTCTTCAAGCGGGATCGCCTAATAATAGATCATTCCCTCGGGTAGGATCACCTCACAATAGACCATTCTTTCGGGTAGGATCGCCTAATAATAGATCATTCACTCGGGTAGGGTCACCTCTCAATTGACCATTCTTTCTTTTAGGCGGGATTGCCTAATAATAGATCATCCACTCGGGTAGGGTCACCTCACAACGGACCATTCTTTCGAGCAGGATCGCCTAATAATAGATCGATCACTCAAGTAGGGTCACCTCATAATGGACCATTCTTTCGGACAGGATCGCCTAATAATAGATTAGCCACTTAGGTAACACCTCATAATGGACCATTCTTTCGAGCGGGATCGCCTAATAATAGATCATCCACTCGAGTTGGGTCACCTCACAATATATCATTTTTTCGAGCGGGATCGCCTAATAATAGATCATCCACTCGGGTAGAGTCACCTCTCAATTAACCATTCTTTCAGGCAGGATCGCCTAATAATAGATCATTCACTCGAGTAGGGTCACCTCACAATAGACCATTCTTTTAGGTAGGGTTGCCTCACAACATACTATTCTTTTAGGTAGGATCGCCTCGCAACGGACCATTGCATATTTAATTTCTAGGGTAGGTCGCCCTTTACAATAAGGTCACGCATGACACGTTTAATTTTTCGGGGTAGGTCGCCATTTACAATAAAGCCACGTATGCGCACGTTTAATTTTCAAGGTAGGTTGCCCTTTACAATAAGGCTATGCATTTGCATGTTTAAATTTCTAGAGTAGGTCGCCCTTTACAATAAGGTCAAACATTTGCACATTTTAATTTCTAAGATAGGTCGCCTTTTACAACAAGGTCATGTATCGCATCTTTTATTTTTCATGTACTTTGTACTTAATTTTTCATGAACTCGCACATTTATTTTTCCTAAAAAAAAAGAGGAAGAATATCTTTACAATCTCACTAGACAAATCTATTCCGAAGTTCACACTTCGACTAAGATTTGCATTGTAATCATTGTAAAGAGAGAACAACTCGTCATAACCCAATTTTTTTCCTCTAAAGGAAAAAAAAAGAATAATAAAACAAAAAAAACAAAAAAGGAAAAAAATATAAAATCTCTCGTAAAATCATTCAAAAATCTATTCAAATCTTCCATAAATCTTTTTTAATTAGAATCTCCTTATTTTTAGCTAGAAAAATCTCAAAATTAAGATTCGATAATTAAAATTTGATTTTTGAATTGATTTTGGGAGAAATTTTAGGACGTTTTCAGCCTATAAAAAGCTTTCGACTTTCAATTTATGGGGGAGAAAAATGAGGAAAAAAAGAAGAAGAAAAAACGCAGACAAAAAAAAACAAAAAGAAAAAATATTGAAACCCTAAAAAGAAGAAGCGAAACACGCCCTAACCCAATAACCATACTCGATTACCCGTTTACCCGGTCGAAACTTTTGAGCCTCAATGGATCGTTTTTCGATCATATTTTGACCCCGATCAACATACCCATGTGTAGCCCATCCCTAGATTGGTCCATCAACACCGATTAGAGAGAGAAAAATCACGGAGGAGAGAGAAATCAAAGATCAAACCACCATAACCCGACCCGAATAAAGACCCGTTCGTTTCTCTCAAATCCGATCACCAACACGAGATTGACCACCACGGACCCGATCGCCAATCTCCCTTGAGTATTTTCATATAAAATTCATGGCCCAACGACACCGTAAAACGATTTAATTGACCTCGACTCGTTTTCGACCCGTTTTGGTAAACCCGAAAAAATTAGCCGATCTAGGAAGAATTGGAGATCCTACCCACCACAAAACTTCTTCTCTCGGCCTTGCGAGTCGACCTGTGGGTTTGGAATCCCGATAGGAGGTCAGATTCATCATCGGTGAAGAAGGAAGATCCGACCGAACCTTTGGAGGCTCCGATCTCCCTCATTCGGCGTTGTCTCCGGTTGAAACCACCGCCATCGAGTCGCAATGATCGGATCTACAAGGTTGGGTGGTCCACGCACCGGAACGATCACCGGAAGATGAATGGTCGCTTGGTAGTGACTCTTGGTATTCCATGGGCATTTTAGTAATTTTACAATGTATGTGAATTTTGGACTCGTTTGTGTTTGTTTTTTTATTTTTTTTATTTTTTTATGTGTTTTGTAATAATTTTTTGTCTTATGCATGTCCGAAAATCTAGAGATATTTAGTTGTGGAATTTATTCTAATATGTGATTTTTTTTTATGTAATTAAAATATTGGATCAACGAGTCTCGCTATTTATTAGGGACGGACGATGATTTTAATACATTAAATTTCTCAAAATTTATTTTAGTTGATTTTAGTTAATTAAGATCTTAGAGTTTTTTTTATTAAGAAAATAAAAAAATAGAAAAATATATATATCGAAATTTCAATGAAGTCTCCTACATGGTAGGGACCGACGTCACACAAAAAAATCTAAAATTCTCGATGAAGTCTCCTATCCGATTGGGACCGACGTCACAAAAAAAATCATTGTTTAAATCAAAATATCCTCCGACACATCGATTGTGTCAAGGCTTAAAGTGGATCCGATGTTTGAATCGACGTGTCGCTCAACGAAGGGAATCGACGATCGTTTCAATACGATGCCATGCTCAAAAACTAAAAAATTCAATTTGTTTAAAAAATGGGAGTTTAAAAAATCAAAAAATAATTTGACGTAAATAAAATATTTTAAGAGATAAATTTAGAGCTAAACCGGACGTGGTACCTTTTTTCGGAAAGGGCGCTTTTGGGTGATCGATATCTTTTCAAAAGCGTAACCAACTCCTTACCATAAAATCTCCAAACCGATGATCCGTTTTAGGTTCCTAGTTCCTTTAATGCTAGGTGGCGACTCCAAACCCCGTAAATAAACTTGTAAATATTCAATCTAATGTTTAGATATTTTTGAGGAGTCCCGTCCGAGCGTCGGGTAGCGACACGGAATATCCTCTAGCTTTACATGGATTCGATGGTAGCCAAACTTGAGGTCCAGCTTGGTGAAGACCTTTGCACCATGTAGTTCATCCAAGCAACTCATCAATATTAGGAATAGGAAAGCGATCCGGCACGGTGGCGCGATTGAGAGCCCGATAATTAACACAAAATTGCCGGCTCCCATCTTTTTTGCGGACCAGACAGCACAGGACTCAAAAAAGGGCTCACACTCGATTGAATGATACCAGTGGATAACATCTCGGAAACCAGCTTCTCAATTTCTGTCTTTTACACTTGTGGGTATCGATAGGGTCGAACATTGATTGGGCCTTCTCCTTCTTTCAAAACAATTGCATGTTCATGGCCACACTCTGAAGGTAAGCCAACAGGTATATCAAACACATATGTAAACTCTATCAAAAGCTCTCGGACGACAGGGTCCTCACACTCCATAGCTCTGTTTTCCTGCATAGAGACATGCACCAGTTCCACTAGCAAGCCTTCCTTCTCTTGTTGGAATTCCTTAACCATAGTTTTAAGGGACACTAAAGCTTTAGTTAAGCTAGGATCTCCTCGAAGCACTATAGTTTTGTCCCCCAACTCAAAGGTCATTGTCAATCTTCGCCAATCATCACGTGTTTCCCCCAAGGTGGTGAGCCATTTCACTCCAAGAATCACGTTCGTGCTTCCTAATGGCAAAGGAAGGAAATCTTCGACTATAGTTAGTTCATGTAATTGAAGAACAACTCCCTTGCAAACCCCAATTCCTTTAAGAGGCTTCCCGGAACCAATTACTACTCCATATTGCGAAGTCTCCTAGATGGGTAACTGAAGAACTTCCACCAACCCCGTAGAGATGAAGTTGTGGTTAGCTCCACGGTCGATAAGCACAACCACTTCTACTCCATGCACTTCCCTTTTTAGCTTTAATGTGTGAGGTTCGGAGAGTCCAACTACTGAGTTCAAGGATAACTCAACTCTTTCTACTGCCTCCTCAGCCTTTGTTCTTTCTTCATTGTCACCAACATCAGGTTTGTCACCTTCACTAACCAACAACACGTGTAGCTCCTTGTTTTTACAGCGATGGCCGAACTGCCATTTTTTATCACAACGAAAGCAGAGGCCTTGTTCTCGTTTGCCTTGAGCTTCAGCTGGGGTCAGATTTCAAAAATGGGGTGGTAGGAGTTTTGGTGTCAGATCTATGGTTGGGGTTTTGTTGGTGAATGGTGGTGGGTGTTAGGTTACTTGCTGTGGTTTTGGTGAGGGTGGTGTTTAAAGGGTTATTGAACGGGTTGTATGGTTTAATGGGGGTCCATGAAATGGTTTTGGTATCAGGTTTGTATTGGATTGAAGGGGGTTCTTTGTGGGCTTTTGGGTTAAGGGCTGAGCTTAAGATTTGATTCTTCCTCTCAATCCGGCCCGTAGTCTCTATGGTCTCCTTCAACGTTCTTGGGTTCAGCACCAGCAGCTCTGCTCTGATCTTCTCACTCAAACCATTTACAAAAACAACTGCCATGGTGTCATCATCAAGCACCCCTACTGACGTCGCCAAATATTCAAACTGGGCTCGATATTCTGCGATCGTTCCTTTTTGCTTAACCGCAAAGAACCGATGAAGCAGGGAACCATCTTGTAACCCGGCAAACCTGTGTAGGATCTGTGCCTTCAATTCTTCCCATGAAGTGAAAGCCTTGCCTCGCTCTTCAAAGCGAACCCATGCTTGGGCCTCTCCTTCAAAGCACACTCCCACAGCCTCCAGCTTGTCCACCTCCGATAGCTGATTTATCGAAAAATACGTCTCTGCTTGGAAAATCCAAGAGTCAGCTCCCTTGCCATCAAACACTGGAAGTTCCAGTTTCCAAGGGTACTTATCCGTCTTCAGCACTTTCTCAGCTCCAGACACCATCGTAATAGCGTTGATCGCTGCTTCGGTTTCAGTTATCGTTGCATCCATTGTGCCAGATCTAGCTGTACTGGATTTAGCAGGATGTTCCATGCCTTGCCTCTGATTCTTCAGGATCTGTTGAATGTTGAGTTACGTCTCCTGTATCTGTGAAATCAACAGAGTCATGTTTGCATTCAGTCCTTTCATGTCTTCCTCCAACTGATCAACTCTTGCTTCCATTCTGGTCCTGGTCATTACCCACAGCAGGAGCTATGGGCTCTGATACCAAATTGATAGAACCAAGCTGTATGACAGAAGAATTAAGAAATGAAGAAATGTAAAAGAGGACGGTGGGATGAGAAATGGGGAATTTGTATATTAATGTTGCTAATGTAAGGATGACACCAACATGATTTTGAGAGCCTGCCTTCTCTCCAATCAAATTCACTCAATTACAAAATATTCCTCGATAGTGACCCTATTCCCATGATTCCTTATTTGTAGACTCCACCGCATAACAAAATGACTAGCTCATCATAAAGGACAAAAGTTCATAACAAACTTGCAATCACGCAGACACCTGCCCCTTCCAATGCCACGATAACGTCCCTGCCTTGTGCTTGCTCTCAGGCCCCCATTTACTTATTATGCTTAGACCCAGTATCCATTCCAGCTCTAGGAAAGCCCCTGTTCTTCTTTCTGAAATATGTGAACTGGATTAGAGGTCTCCTTGGCCCATCATAATGCAACTCCATTTTTTCTCCAGATTCGATAAATTACTAGATCTCCTGAGTTTCAGGTGCTATCTAAATATTTTCTGGTTTGATAAGAATTTCCCAGGTTCAAACTATTATTTAAAATTTGTGATCAAAATGGGATTGTGTCGTAAGTTCTTGGAATGACTAGCAGTGCCTATAAGTTGCCGAACTCATTTTCATTTCTCTTCTTTATATGGAACTTCGAAACTTATTGCCTGATCACCAATACTGAAGCTGCAGCAAACAAGAAGCAGAGTGATCTCTCTGATTTCTGCAAAATGAGCCAGCATGCTAGATTACCATGTTATGTTCTTTCCTTTCGCACAAATCTTAAAAGAGTTACTATATTCGCAACTGTCCTCAGATAATCACCTGACTCCACATTGTTTATACATAAAACTATAATTTGGACAATTTTGATACAACATGAGGATTTTGAATGTTATTGAGAAAGGAAGCAGAGTGTGAAGATGTAATACAGAAACTAACTTCGAACAGATGAACAATACAAACTTCCTTCCAGGCAGAAGGACCCCTGCGTTTTCTGCTACAACAGCAATTCCTGATATAAAAAAGAAAGCATTACAAACAAGAAACCACCAGTTTAAGTAATTTATTCTCTCTAAGCAAGCTTTTTGAAAACTCATTTCTGGGGAACCTTGTAAGCGAAGAAAGAAAGTGTTACCTTGCCAGCTTTGGAGGAAGAAAGGTCTTCGTGACAGATGATAAATTTTCACTGTACTCTGGTCTTATATACACCGAGCCAGTTCCATGATTTGTCGAGGAATCGAAAATAGGAATGTCTCCAAGAACGCTTTAGCAGTAGAGCAGCTGAGACCCCCCAAAAGCATACGGCAAATCCGATTCCCATACCAGTGTAAAACCATTTATGAAATTCATCAACGTTTCGATCACTGTCGCCATTAGTTGGTAGACTTTGAGGGGTTTCTTCTCTGGGGCATTTCTGTGCGATTGGCAGCCCACAAAGTGCAGGATTGCCAATAAAAGCAGAACTCTCAAAGCTCTGAAGTTGGGTGCCTGACGGAATCTTCCCAGACAGTTTATTATAGGACAAGTTCAAATGGCTCAGGAAATTTAGATCAGCTATGGAGGTAGGAATTCTGCCTGATAACCGGTTTTCTGACAAATCAAGTGATTGCAACTGTTTCAACTGACCGATCTTTTCTGGCATCATTCCAGCCAAATTGTTTCTTGACAAATTCAGCACAATCAACTCTACCAATGCTGTTATTTCTTCAGGAATTTCTCCTGTTATCTGGTTCCTTGCAAAATTAATAATCCTCAACAGTCCAAGATTCCTTCCGTGCTCATACTCACTTCCTTTCCATTCAACCAGGGCCTTGTTCATGTAGTAGTCTCCATAACCAACTGTACCAGATGTCATTGATACTGCATAAGAATTCTTGATCATATTTTCCGATTCCCCTTTCTTAACCATGGCAGTGAAATTGTTTAGGCACTTCGGTATGGTTCCAGAGATGTTATTTACAGAGAGGTCCAAGATTTGGATATCTGATAGTTGACATATATGCGGTGGAATGCTTCCAGAGAACTCATTAGAATGCAAGGAAAGGAATATCAAAGATGATAGCCTTCCTCCTATCCAAGCTGGTACTTCTCCAGACAATCCATTTACACTTAGGTCCAAAAACATCAGCTTGCCGCAATTCCTTAAAGACGAGGGTAATTTTCCAGAGAGGCTATTGTTGTGTAAAGTCAACGCTTCAAGCCAAGACAATGATCCTATGGAGCTAGGAATTTCACCTGAGAAATTGTTGTTAGCTAAATTCAGAACATTTAGCTGCAGCCACTCCATAAAACAATCGGGAAGCCTCCTGGAAAATAGGTTATTTGAGAGGTCAAGAAAGCTCAAAGCCCCACCCATGATCTTACATATAACAGAAATTGACCCTGAAAACCTATTGTTTGAAAGATTTAAGGATGTTGTGTTCGAAGGAAATACTGGCAATGGTCCCTCAAATTGGTTTGAACTAAAATCAATACCAATGTATAGAGGATACTGAGATGATAGATTTGGCAGCATTCCACTCATCTGGTTATTGGAAAGGTTTAAGAAAGACAAGCTGGGGGAAAGATCCCAAAACCAATCAGGAATAGTATCTGAGATTCTGGCACTTGATATATCAAGCTCAGAAAGATTAGTTTGGCTGCGAAGCCATTTAGGGAAATGAGGCCCCAAGTTGCAGAAACCAAGACGTAAGCTATCCAGATTAAAAGGGGGCACCCAATCAGATGAGAATTGCAAAGCCAAAGAGTTAGAAGACAAATCCAAATGCTGTAATTTTGAGAGGTTTGAAAAATGAGCTTCAGACATCACACCTTCCAAGGAATTGAACCCAACATCTAGATGCTTAAGCTCAGATAGGTTTCCAATAGTTTCAGGAATAGTCCCATTTAACTGATTTTCGTAAATCGACAATGCACTCAAAGATGGAAGCATTGTAAAATCAGGTAATGATCCTATCAATTGGTTTCCCTCCAAACTCAGGACAGTAAGTTCAGAATATTGTTCAAACCTTGTTGGTAAAGAGCCGTTCAACTGATTATCAGAGAGGTCCAATTCCCTCGCGGAAGAGAATCTTGTAATATCAGGTAATGAACCATGAAGCTGATTACCACATGCTTTCAAAACCTTCAATTTCTTCTCTGCGCATCCTTTTAAGTTTTGAATGAACTGAGAAAGATCTCCAGTGAGATTGTTGTAACACAAATTTAGTGCACTTAAGTTGCACATCTCCCCAAAGGATCTTGGAATGCCTTGCAAATGGTTAAGGGAAAGATCAAGAGTTGCAAGAGAAGTCATGTTTCTGAAAGCATCAGGAATTGAGCCTTGTAACTGATTATTTGACAGGTCAAGGTCTACAAGGCTATTCCTGAAGTTGCGCAACCAAAAAAATATTGAAGAACCAAGACTGTTCCCAAAGAGATCAAGATAAGCAAGAGATTTAGAAGAATTTACGAAAGAAAGAGACTGAGGAATGATAGATGACAGACCACAATCACTTAACCGCAGGTTCATTATGCGAGGGAGGTTGTTGATCCCCTGCAACCAATCACTGGCCTCACTGAGGTTAGTCCCACTTAGGTCAAGGTTCTTTAAAGAAGAAAGTTGAGAAAAGCAAGAAAGGGTTTCAAATTTAACATCAGTGTTTTGGCTCAGCTCAAGGGACTGCAACCTTGACAGGTTCCAGAGCTGATATGAGAGAGTTGCATTAAACCCGTTGGAGGAGAGATTTAAGTATCTTAAGCTGCTTAGGTTTCCAATGAAATTTGGGAATGGATTCCCAAGAAAATTATTGCCACTCAGGTCCAAATAACTCAAGTAATGCAACTCTAGCAATGAGTTATTGATCTTACCTCTCAGACCTTGGAATCCAGTACGCCAATAAGCCAACCTGGAATGAAGATCAAGCAAAGTGACATGACCAGCCTTGCTGTCGCAGACTATGCCTCTCCATTTACAACAATCACTCTTCTCTTCTTCACTCCCCCACGAAGAAAGAATACCGTAGTCATCAAAAAGATCTTCTTTAAACTTAAGGAGGGCTTGTCTCTCCCTTTCTGTGCACCTGACTTTTGCCCCTTCCACTCCTGAAATAAATCCATGATCAGGTTTCATGTGCAACAGAAGAACAATGAACACAAAAAGTTTTTGGTCGAAAGGTTTATGCATTTTGATCACAATCAAGATAGAAGCAACAACAGCTGAGGGTTTGCTCTCTTTTCTTTTTCCCCTCAAGCCAAGCACGACCTAAGGACTGGAGTTAGATAAGTCGGTCATCTTTGCTTTTAAATTTCTGTATACTAGCTGTCTACAGTTTATTTATTTTTGGTTCAATCTCCTTCCCTTATTTTACAGGAAAGAAGACCAAGGTCCTATTTAGGGAAAAAAAATGATTTAGGTGGAATAAACTCTATAAATCGGTAAAGAAAGAATAAAAATGAAATGAAATGAAATGAAAACTCTACATCATTGGAAGCTCAAGTCAATGATTATGCTTTGTTCACTTGTGCTCATTGGAAGCTCAAGTCCTTTTTTTTTTTTTTTTAATCAAGACTTGGTAAAAAGGAAACAGTTCTTCATTTATCAACGCTTTCCAAGGTCCTAATGATGCTGCTTATTCAATAGAATACAGTAAATTCATTCTCTTGATGTTCCTATCAATCCCAATCCAATTGTTAACCATAAACATTTAATTTTTCGACTGAACTCTTCGAAGGGCTTTCGTATGAGACTTTTGTTAGCCTCTAGTTCCCAGAAGCACTGTTAAGTAATACAGCAAAGTAAGATGACATGAGCTAACCCATTAGCAAGAACAAGTCCCTAAAAGACGATGACTCTTTATAAAACGGGCTGCCTCTTAAAAACAGTTTGGGAATCCTTCTATTTTAAGGCTTCCGGCGCGAGAAAGAAAGGCACCCATTTTTTTTACTATAATTAGGTAGGACAAAATATTTAATGAAAAATCTTTAATTATGATATCAATTAAATCGTCACTCATCATCGTAATTGCATTAATATCGTCACATATTAAATACAATGATAGTAAAAAGAATACTTCATTTTTTTCACTATGCAAATTGGACCCATAATTATCTATATAAAGGCCTACCACAAAATTAAAAAAATTTTCCAAAAAAGAATTTTGGAAAATGCTTTCTACACAAATTCTATATCATGTATATTTTATTCTCTTTTACAAATTACATACAAAAGAACATTTTTATGTCAATTCATTTTCTTTCGAATACTAACTTCACTCGTTAGGAGGTTTCATTTAACTAGAATGACTTGTTTTGTAGGTACATTATATAAATAAAATTTCAATCACACTCTATGATCATTAAACTATAATCACTACCTGTGTTTGTAACATTTTCTTAGTTTTATTTTGACGAATCAATTCATGACTTATCACTTACAATCATGTTCTAAATGTCTGTAGAGAAGATGGAGAAGAGGTATTCCTTAATGGTGGTTCATGGGGTAATCATGCTGATAAACTACTATGAGCATGGATAACTTGAGCAAATAATCATTCCTTCTTCCTTCTCGCTTTTTGGTTTGTTTGTTTTATTTTTATTTTTTGATGTGAACTTAGACCTTTTTTATCACCTTTTTTGTCATTTGTAAGCACATTAGAAGTTACATGGCTTTGTGTTTACTCTATTGAGGAATAGCAGGTCATTGAAGTGGTAAAACTTTCCACTAGAATTGAATTTATCAAGAGTAATCAAAGTTTCTTAGGTTATAGAATTGATTTTTTGAATTGAGTCACTTATGTAATTGAGTTTCCTTTCGGAAGAGTGGAAATATTATGGAAATAGAAAAGAAAATTGGGTTTGGATCTAGTGACGCACCAAGTGCCTCCCAGCATCATAGAAGATTAGGCCTTTGCGTCCAAGCTGCATCATTAACTATTAACTTTTACTAATTAACTAAAAGAAATGAAATTTTTAATGTGCATACATGCGATTCAATGTAACTTACACACATTTGCATTGTTCACGTACGTTCACTTACACTATGCATTTTCATTGTTTGGCCAAACAATTTTATTTTGGACCCTAATGTTTAAAAAAAAATCTCTTTTTCTATTGTTTCTCTGGCCCGTGCCTTTTTTTTTTAATTTATTTATATTAAAGATTTTCATTTTTTTTTTAATTGCGACGCACTAGGTGGTAAACAAACTTGTGACGCTTCAGCCTGCATCCCATGGCGCATCGTTGAAAGGAAATGTCAAAACTTGATGAAGTGACACACCTTAGCTTCTCACAATTTTTTATTCGTTTAGGTGGCTAGTGCGCCCAAGGCCCAATCATCTATTGTGCTGTGAAGCAATTAGCGTGTCACAAGGCCCAAACCCAATTTTCTTTTGCATTGCCATAATATTTCTACTTTGCAAAATGAAATTAGATTGAAAATTGTTTGGGGTACTTTTATACCGGTCTCAATTAAGAGAATTTTATAACAGCAAAATAAAAGAATAATTAGATAGCAGTTTGTAATACAGTTTATTTTCTAGACTTGAAAGGAAATGGATTGAAGAAATTAGGCTAAATACATTGCTACTTGTTCTAGTGATGTTTTTTTAATGTTTTATCTTAATATAATCCTAAATTAAATGACTCGCAATCTGGTTATAAATTCTTGGAATGGGCTTATAACATGATCAAGGTACTTGAGTTGTAAGTTTGTAAGAATAATTATTCGCAACCATGACTATTCATTATAGCAATAGAATAATGCCTTTACCTAAACAAGTTTTCTATTTATATAGGTAAATCAAATACAACAATTGAAATTTTTAGGCTAGTATGCAATCGAAATAATGAATTTGAACTAAAAAAGATAAAAGATTAAACAATTCAAATGCTAAGAAAATAGAGTTGCAATATTGACAAAAACCCAAAACTTACTCACGGTAATTTAGAAATTACAAACTTAAAATCTTTAACTAGATGTGAGTCAGAATCACAATATTGTAGACTTTACAATCCTCAATATTATGAAAAAGAAAGAGAGAAAGATACTTCCCCAGTCAAGCTGTAAAACTTCGATCTATGACGTACAAATAATGCAAAAACCACAATTTCTATTAACCATCAAGTTCAATTATAACTAGGGCTACAACACGAATGACAAAATTTTGTAACCTCAAAAAGAAAAGAAAAGAAAATCTACTGGCACTGATGCAAAACATTACGATTAATTGTAGTGATAAACTAGCATTGGGAAGGTTTTGGGTTCAAACCTCTTTTTTGTAAGAACCACATAGCATGCTAATGCACTAAGTATAGGATAAACAGTGTCACAGTGATGGCCAGGATGAGAGATCCAACGACAGTACCAGTGCCTATCCAAACATTTTTGAAATACACACTTACCAAGTACGCCTTGTTTTTGTTCCAGGAGCTCTCATAGTAATCGTTCAGAAGTTTGGAGAGAGGGTCGAAACTGGAGGAATCTTCTACCATTTCTCGGCAAAGTCCGTTAACAAGCTTCGCCACAGCTTCACTGTCACCAAGCTTGCTAAGAATAACTTTATTTTCAAATCCACATCTTTTTTGACGTCCACCAGGAAATCGAGTAGTTTAACATAACGACAAATGTACTCTTCTCCTGGATAATGTAACTGCTCCAACGCCATGAGGTTTCGGAGCAGACATTCAGTATCGTTGTCCATTTCAAGGGGAGGCATAAGTAACTCCGCTCTCTTGGCTGAAGTCCGTACTTCCTCGTTTGAGAGAGGTTTCCAGGCTCTTATGTCAAGCAAGGATTCATCTGGCGATGCCTTGAACTTAATTCCTGCTTGCTGCAGCATGTTTGCGCTATAAAGAGTATTTATGGGTCCTCCGTTTTGTAATTTTAAATTCGGGTGCTTGAAGGATAGAAAACATCTCACCAAATCAGTGAAATGTAGTATTGTTTTAGTGGGCACGGATTTCTTTTTGTACTTCTCAAAGTACTGGCAGGAAAGCTCTGTAAAAGAAACAGAATTGTTCTTGCTCATCGCAAGCTCATATAATTCCTCAAGAGTAGAGAATGGCAGCTGATTTTCAAGCAATATCAAGTCTCGTCGAATCGCACTCCTCAACCAGGGTTTCCCTATGATGAAATCGTCTTGATTTTTGCTGTTATCTAGCTGGTATTCTTTATTCCTCAAGAATAGCTCGAAGATGAATACAGCATCCAACAGAATCATCTCCACAAACTGGTCACTGCCAAGCTTAGTGGTATCAGCTACATAGCAGCGGCAGATGTCCTCTTGATTATCCTTAATGGTGCTCAAAAGTTTTGTCAAAATTATTTTTTTCTGCTGCTTTTCCACTCGTAGTCTGCAAAATTCTTTCAGATATCTCCGTTTCTGAATTTTCATAGCCTTCAAGTTTTCGTTGTCATGATGAATAGGGCCTATCGAAATCACTCGAGGAGTGTAGGCAGCTTCATTTAAATCGCGAAGTGGAGCAGGAACTTTATAGATACATTCCTCAGACCGAAAGCTAGTCTCCAACTCATCTGGAATTCCAATTACAATCTCATTGCATAGCTTCTCAATTGGATTTAAAGGGGTTGCTGATTGATCCATGTCTCCTCTTTGTCTATAAGGTTTCTGATTGTGTGACAAAAATAAAACAGCAGTAATTAACTAGCAATGGAATTAACTTCAGAAAAGCAGTATTTTTATGCTACAAGAAGATAAATTTTCTTTGCATTTTCTTTTCCTAGCTAGTAAAACAGGCCAGGTTTCTATTGCAGCTTGCATATTGACAGACAAGGAACTTAATAAATGAGGGGTGACAAATTAATTAAAAAAACTCACAAGAACCTAAGTACCTTGGTCTGAGAAGCTGAGGCACTTGATTTCCTGGATGCAATGCTAATTCTCCCTCTCTTTTTGGCTCTCTTGTGCTCCTTAATACAAGTAGGTATGAGTTCTTCTGTCCCTCCACTGCTCTCGTGTTATAATCCATTCATTCATAGCCAACCAAGTTTAATTTTCTCTTTGTTTTTTAATCAAGAAAATGGGTGTGAACGGCAATTCCATCTACCACCATGCATTTTTTTACATCCATACACAAAAGTCCTCATTGAATGTATATTTGATTGAAATTAGATATCTTTGTCACTGAGGTTAATAGATCATTTTATATTATTTAAGGAGTAATTAATAATATTTACTTAATAAAATAGAGGTATGCACAAATAAGAATTAGGAGGCATAGAATTAAACAAATAATAATAATAATTCAACTTAGGTTCAAACATTTTTATAATTTTTAATAGATTTAAATGTGATTTTTTTTTATATATTCCTTTTTCAAAATATATTCGTAAAATAAATATTTTTAGTTATTTTTTAGTATTTTAAAAAATTTTGGTTTTTAGTATTTCAATAATTAATTAATGAGCACATATTGGATAAGAGCAAGAGAAATAATTAATCCAAAAAATTGGCCAGTGGCTATTTTTAATGGGGTCTGTCGCCATCGGTAATGCTGCTAGCGTTGTTTGCTAAGAATTTTTCGAATCTCATCCATTGAAATAACAATAAACAAATTAAGAAAATTAGTTGTCGCAGCCACCTACTTTTTTATCTCTTTCTGTAGAATTATTATTGACACTTGACAGGGCCAATTGAGTAAAAAAAATTTCAAATTAGCCCCAACTTGTCACAACCTTTGACGCAATTTTAACGTTGTCAAACTTTCGAAAATGCATTTTTAATCAGCCATCAATGATGAATATACAATTGTGTTTTCTCATTAAAAAAAAAAAAGAAAAGAAAAGAAAAGAAAAAATGCCTGTGGCCAAAAAGAAACACTTTTTGAAAGAAATTCAACGAGGGACGTCATTGACTGGGTGTGACTGTGTGAACGCCACCAACCGATAAATGTTGTCTTTTTATATATATACACATAGATTTAATGATAAATTTTATGTTTATTCTATTATGATTTGGTTATTTAAATTTATAATATCAAATATTATCAAATCATATAACTTAAATGTTAAAATATTAGACATTGGATAAATATGATCCAAATTATCTAATTTCTATTATGTATAACAGTTAATCTAGTTGATCGTTATTTGGAATGACAAAACAATATCGTTTTGGCATTTTCTTGTTAATTTTTCTTTTTTAAAAAATATTTTATAAATATTATAACCTCATAATCTTAAACTTTCTCTTACCTTTTTTTCTTATAAATTATATATAAAAATATTTTATAAATATTTTTAACCTCTAATTTTGAACCTTTTTTTTTTATCTTTTTTATAAAATATTATAAACTTTTTATAAAAAGAAAATATATTTTTCTTAATTTATAAAATTTGGGGGTCAACCCTTAATTATGCTCATTGTAATTTATAAAATATTTTTTTAAGGCTTGAAATTTTGTATTATTAATTATATTTTTTTACAATAACATTTTATTAAAAAAAAGGTTTTTTAAAAAGTTCAAAATTAGGTAAATATTTATAAAATATTTTTTTAATATAATTTATAAAATGTTTATAATGTTTTATAAGAAAAAAGTGTTAAAAAAAGTTCAAGATTAAGAGGGCTAAGAATATTTTAAAAATGTTTTTTTAAATAATTAATAACGAAATATCAGAATGATATCGTTCAAATTATGTATTTTGATACTATAAAGTTAAAATTACTAAATCACAATAAAATGAGAGCAAATTTTGCTATTAAACCTTTTTTATATCCAAATATAAAGGGACCTCATTAAATATATATTTGATTGAAATTAGATTAATCAAATATGTCAATAAAATTCACATTTTGATTTTGTAATTGAATGATATATTATTGATTTGTTATTTTATAATTATGATTGTGCTATTCATTGTGAAAAAAAAATTATATTCTAAATATCATTCGCTAAATTGATGATTTGGACAAATTAAAGTTGTTTTCACTTTCACAATATATATATTGGTTTACATCTCTAAAAAAAAGTTAATCAAAACTCAAATATAGTAACCAAGAGATTTAAATAATGTATTTATCCCTAGTGCAGTGCTCCTTGAACTCATTTCGGGGCTAGTTTTTTACTCTCTTTTGGTCGTTTGTTCATGAACTGTTACTCAATTCTCAATTTGTCCCATAGCAGAAAAATCTATCAATTGAATCTTTAATGTTTTACATATTTTTCAATTAGTTGGATTCTTTTATCAATATATGTTAATATTAATGTTAATTTCAATTTATTTTTATGATGTTTAGAGCGAATTCAAATTCTTCCACCAAGGGTTTAATTGCATCAACGTTCCTGTTGAAGTTTCAATATCAAATCAATTAACAATTGTTTTTTTTTCAATCTCTAAACTCTTACAATTTGATTTTAATAGAACTTTTGCAAATAATTTGAGAAGAAAAGGTCCCCTATTTTCAATTAAAAAGTCCAAATGATGTCACATAATCATTATATTTAAAAATATAAATATAATTATCATAAAATAGTAAAATATATATAAAACTAAAATTTATATGTAAAAAGAAAGTTTAAACTATGAAGCTCATTAAAATGATAAATAAAAAAATTATTTTACGTTTTTCTTTGATGAGTCAAATGTTGTATTATTTCTTAATGTCAACATTAATTGGTTTTTTCAAATATATTGTTAATTGGTTTTGTCAAATATATTGTTGCGTTATTAGTTGATGATTATACCATTGTCATAGTACCAAAGTTTAAAAGTTATTTTTCTTTGGCCATTAGGCTTTTTAGTTTTAAGATTTCGATATTTCGTGGTCTTCCTAATTTAATTTTTTTCATTTTCAATATATTTGATGTTTTCTCTTTATTTTCAATGTAAACCATATTAACAAAAAGATAAATTTTAATTTTGTATATTATATTTTTTAATATAAATGGTGTACATGTTATCATTTGGACTTTTTAATTAAAATTGAAGATTTGATTTCATCAAATTATTTTAAGACGGTCCTATTTGATTATATTTCAAAAGTTTAGGACTGAAAAAACTTAATTTTGCTAGTTTGGATAACTTCAAAGGGAATGTTGATATGTGATTCAAACCACAGGAGGGACATTGGTGCAATTAAAACCTTAGGGAGAGAAACTGCATTCGTCCCAAACCTTGAAGGAGTAAATTGAAATTAACCTCTAATATTTTCCATGTGACGTGCATGTTTCATGCAATATCATATAGCTGTTTTGAAGAAAATTTGATAGAAAAGTCAATGAAAACATTCCCAATTGATAGAATATTTTTGTTCAATCCAATCACCATTTATATTTTTTCCTTTTTTTCTTATTAATAAATAAATTTCTTTACTTTTATGATATTTTTTTTAAAATGATTCGATTGACAGTATTTAGTATGATACTTTTAAAATCAAATCAATGAGATTGATATTCAAAAATTTCTTATAACATATCTATCAATTGACCTTGACCTTGCTGGTATGATCTTGCAAGAATAGATGCATAAATTTTTGGCTTCTTAATTAAAATAAGATTTTCTATGCTTAACAGAAAATCATTTGCCACTAGAGAAATTCTTTTGCATTTTTTTAATTCGAAACTGAGGTAATTGAAGTCGCACAATAAAAGGATATATGATGTCACCGTGTATTAGCAATAATTAATTTTGTCCACTTCACTAGTATCTGTTGATAGGATAATATATGATGTCATTCAATTGAGGTAAGGACTAGATGTTTAGATCATTAAAGAGTCATTTTGATTTTTGATTTTTTTTTTTTACATTATTATTTTATTCAAACATAATTCAGTTTTGAGTAAGTTATAAATTAATTCTTGTTGTTTTGAGAAATAA